GAGAGAGAGGAGAGGAGAGAGAGAGAGAGAGAGAAGGAGAGGAGAGAGAGAGAGGGAGAGGAGAGAGGAGAGAGAGGAGAGAGAGAAGAGAGAGAGAGAGAAGAGAGAAAGAAAGAGAAAGAGAAAGAGAAGAGAGAAGAGAAAGAGAGAGAAAGAGAAAGAGAGAGACAGAGACAGAGACAGAGAGAAAAGGGAGGTTGCATAAGACCACAAGACAGAGAACCCATTCATTTCGCTATTGGCTAATTTATTGATATGCAAATGCATCCAGCGCCATTTTGCCACCACCGAAACAGCGCTCTCTGTCTCAACATCCCGCATTATTTAGCCTGTGTGTTTATGCAACGCAAACATATCCCTCACAGACCTCACAGAATTTGGCCTGTTTTTTTAGCCCCGCATGATTCTTGTTCGGCCAAATTACATTAGCCGTCAAGTGTGTTTTTGTGCGATAAAGAGAGAAGGAAAAACATTCGGACATACCGTCGACAACACTCCTTCTCACATTTCCCTATATATTTTTACTCGTATTTCTGTTTATAGTTTTGATTTTGTATCGGGAAATGTGCAGGATTGGAATCAGTGGCGTCATTAGATCTTGCAAAGCTAGTAAGATTATAGATCTATATAGATATAGCCATTAGATGTGAGCTGAAAAAAAAAAATCATGAACTAGTCACGTATCCCCTGTCTAGACTCTTGAGAATATTTATCGTGAAAAAATGCAGAATTGGAATCAATCGCGTCACTGAAATATGCAAAGCTAGCAAAATCACATGATGATAAACAAAGTCGATAAGTAAATAAGATATAAAAAAAAGATAAATAGCTTTAGTCACGTACCCCCTGAAACTCCCTTCTCGCTCTTGGAACCTCTGATCTACAGCCATATTCTCAACAGTCGTTCTCTTATTTTGAATATCATCTAATCATATTCCTATATCCAATAAGAACTATATAAATCAATCTGAAGTAATTCGTCTCTCTATCGAAGGAGGAATCGACACTTTTCCACTTACAAGAAACACTGGCGGCGTTATTTCACTCCGTCCGGGGTTCGTAAACACGCACGCTTGCACGTCCACACATTCGCGTACGCACACACACACACACAACCACACACACACACATACACACACACACACACATATAACACACACATATTAAAACACACACACATATAAACACACACACATATAACACACACACACACACCACACACACACATATAAACACACACACACGCACACACACACACACCACACACACACACACACACACACACACACACACACACACACACACACACACACACACACACACACACACACACACACACACACACACACACACACCACACACACACACACACACACACACACACACACACACACACACACACACACACACACACACACACACACACACACACACACACACACATATGTATGTTTTTTTAAATTTAAGTTAAAATAGTAAGACAAAAATTTAAAACCCCGATTCATCAGACGGTAAAATTGGAATGGTTTTACCGTGTGGGCGTGTATGTACACACACACACGCACACAGACACACAGACACACACATATAGATAGATAGAAAGATAGATAGAAGAGAGAGAGAGAGAGAGAGAAGAGAGAGAGAGAGAGAGAGAGAGAGAGAAGAGAGAGAGAGAGAGAGAGAGAGAGAGAGAGAGAGAGAGAAAGAAAAGAAAGAAAGAAAGAGAGAGAAAAAATAGATAAAAAGACAGATAGGAAAATAGATAAAAAAGATTCACAAACAAACAAAAAACAACATACAACCAGACAACCCCAACCCTCCCCACCAACCCTTACTGACCCCCCCCCCCCCCCCCCACCCGCAGGCCTACGGCGAGAAGCAGGCGTGACCCAGAGTTCGCGCCAAGGGGTCACGACCTTTGACCTGTTCAAGACGCCCGTGCTCAGACGCCGGTTCCTCGTGCTCTGCGTCATGTGGTTGGTGGACCGTCTGAGGCGGTGGTGATGAGGATGGTGATGATGAGGAGGATGAGGATGAGGATGATGATGATAATGATATAATCATCATGATCATCGCCATTTTCATCATCGTCATCATCATCATCGTCGTCATAGTCACCATCACCCCATCGTCATCATCGTCATCATCATCATCATCACCATCATCATTATCATCATCGTCATCATCATCATAAAAAATATGATGATGAAAATGATAATTATTATGATGATATTAATTATAACCATAGTGGTTATGGTAATGATTATCTTAATAATGATAAGGATAACAGTAATTACAGTCATGATGATGATGATGATGATAATGACAATAATATTAACACTAATAATAATAGTGATAATTGTAATAATGATGATGATGATATTTATAATGACAGTAATATTAACAGTAATAATAATAACAATAATGATAATAGCAATAATGATAATGATAATAGTAATGATAATAATAATAATAGTGATAATATATAATGATAATTTAT